AGAAGAGCTGAGCACATCGGCGGGGAATCGGCCACGAGCGGGAGAAAGAGCAGGAGGAAGAGGAAGAAGATGCAAGATGCGGACGAATTGGGACGCGGGAGAACAGCAGCAGCAGGAGCAAGAGCAGGAAGAACGGGAGGGAGCAGGATGACCACGGGGAAGGCCGGGGAGCGGAAAGGACGGCGCGACAGCGTCGAGGAAGCACTCGCATCCAGACAAGTGGCCCGCACTGGGGCGAAAGCGCCATGCTGAGCAATGCGAACAAGCCCCCGACCCTAAAATGATGCCAACGCTGTACGGAAGCACGTCTTTGAGACGGTTGAGTCGCTCCGATGAAATCAACCATAGGAAAGGCAAGCTTTGAAAATCCTGCGCGTAAGCAAAACAGCAAGGCGAGGGGGGGCGAACCACCTGCCGGACATCTTCGGGGGAGAAAGGAATGTGAAATCCCACCAGCCCTCTGGGCAACAAGTGGTCTAGCGATGCCTGTTTTTCCTCGTCCACAACCCGTTTCTTCCCCTTCGGGGAAGGGCTTGTCACTTCTACCTATTAATATACACACTCCCCACCCGGCCGGCGGCCAACCCAGAACCACGCCAACCCCACGCGGGCCACCCCCCCACCATCCCTGTCAAAAAAACAAAACGAATTATGCTTCCAAATTTGGAGCATGCGCGGCCAACCCGATGCGCCCCCCGCCCCACACCACCCCTGTCAGAATCAATACACAATACACTTCGGGGCAAAGTATTGAGTCATACGCGCGAAGCCCGCGGGCACATTGTATTGTTTTTGGCAAGGACGGCGGGGGTGTCAGCATACTCCCTTTCTGCGCGCAGGGTTGCCATCCTAGATAGGTTGATATATGTATATATATATATACACACACACGTATACACACACACACACACACACATGTACACACAAAATGCGCCTCGCGGTTAAATAGCTATGGAATGTGCGCGGCTTCCCCGCGATCACAGTCAAGCGGTTTTTGACAGAGACGGCGGGGGTGGTGGCGCGTGGCCTGCTGCGCGCAAGCCGTCACACATAATGATGGGCATTGGTTTTCGACAAGGATGGTGGGGGCCAAACCGTTTCCCGATGCGCGCTGCCACGTGAGCAAGCGCACCTGACGCACTCTGCACGTGCCCCGAACGGGGCGCACCTGGCGCGGCTGGAGTGCGTGGCACACGTGGCGCGCTCGGAGCACGTGGCGCATCTGGCGCACCAGGCGTGCTTGGCACGCTCGGGCCCCAGGGGTGCCTGGCGCGCGCGACGCACCTCGCCAAAGCGTCGCGCACCTGGGGTCGGCCGTGATTCCAGTAGCTGCCCATCCAAAGACGACCGCTGAACATGTTCAGGCGAGGGAATTTACTATGTGTTGGGAGGGCGGGTGGGAGTGAGCTAAACGGTTTGCGGGCGGGTGGGTAGCTTGATCACTGTTCCCTATTAGTAGACACCCCCTCCCCCAGGCGACTGGGAGCCAACCCGAGACCATGTGGGCACCCCCCACTATCCCTTTGTAAAAAACAATCCAAACACACACTCTGTCTCCAAATCCGGAGCATGCGCAGCGAACCCGATGCGGCCTCCCCCCACCATCCGTGTCAACAAAACCATTACAGAGTACACTTGGCGGCGGCGGCGGCTGCGGCGGGGGCAGCGTCTGCGGCGGCTGCGGCGGTGGCGGCCGCGAAGGCGGCGGCGGCGGCGGCGGCGGGGGCGGCGGCTACGGCGGCGGCGGCGGCGGCGGCGGTGGCGGCGGCGGCGGCGGCGGTGGCGGCAGCGGCTGCGGCGGCAGGTTGCGGCGGCTGCGATTCGCCTGCGGGGCGGTGGCGGTGGCGGCGGCGGCAGCGGCGCGGCGGCGGCGCGGTGGTGCGCAGGGGCTGCGGCGGCAGCGGCTGCGGCGGCGGCGATTCGGCAGCGGGGGCGGTGGCGCAGCGGCAGCGGCTGCGGCGGCAGCGGCTGTGGCGGCAGCGGCTGCGGCAGGCGGCGATTCGGCAGCGGCGGCGGCGGGCAGCGGCGGCGGCGGCGGCGGCGACGCGGCAGCGGCGGCGGCGGGCGGCGGCGGCGGCGGCAGCGGAGGCGGCGGCGGCGGCGGCGGATTCGCCCCCAGTAACTGCCCATCCAAAGACGACTGTTGCATATGCTGCGGCTCGGGCCAGGCTCGGGTGCTACGTATGTGTTGGGAGGACGGGTGGGAGTGAGCGAAACGGCTCGCGGGCGGGGAGGGAGTCTTGACCCCTCCCCCTACCGCTACCCCCTCCACTGGACCTGGACGGGGGGGAGCCGCGAGGTGTCGGAGGTCCACTGTCACCCAAGATGGCTCCAAGAGGGCCTCAGAGAGCCAAAAGTATCCTCCAAGATCGCTCCAGATAGCCCGACATGGCTCAAAATAGCTAACAACATGCCTCCAGGAAGCCCCAGGAGGGCCACAAGACAGTTCCAGGTGCTTTGGGCGACCCGCCAGGACCTCCCCGAGAAGCCAAAATCCTTCAAACACATAATGAAAATCACGGATGGTTGCCTTCTCGCAGTTTCGCTTCCGATGCACTTTTGAGGCCTCGAGATGGCCCGAAGATGGCCCACGAGAGCTCCAAGAAGGGCCCAAGAGGCCCCCAAGACTGCCCCAAGAGAGCCCAAGATCGCCCCAAGAGGGCCCCAAGAGCGCCCCAAGATGCAATGTGTACGGCCCCAAAGGGGCGAGGCAAATCGAGGACCCCCCGTCTTCGATCGATGGTCCCAAAGATGGCCCCAGGAGGCGCTCCATAGCTCCCAAGAGGGCCCCAAGAGAGCCCCAAGAGAGCCCCGAGAGGGCCCCATGAGGGCCCCAAGGCGCCCCAAAAGAGCCCCAAGAGGGCCCCAAGATGCACCGAAAGAGCGCCAAGAGGACTAGAATATCCCCCAATACAGCTCCGTAGCTCCAAGAAGGCCTGCGATGCTCCAAGATAGACTCCAAGATGGCTCAACACCCGCCTTCCTCTCCTTTCCTTGCACTCTCTGTTTACTAGATGTGTCTCTTCTCTAAATTGCCAGACAGCTCTCATGGGCAGGGCTTATGACTGGGCTGGTGGGGATTCGCCAAGCGACAAATGCTCGCACAAGGAAATCCAGAAAGGATGCGGGAATTTAAGAGGCGGTGCTCGCACGGGCACCGCGCGCTCCGCGGCCGAACTCGCCACCCATTCCTTCCCGGGCACCTCCCGCGCTTAAGCGCGAGTGCGTGTCATCCAGCGCCACGAAATCTTTTGCGCGCGCAAGAATAGTTGAATGCACTGGACCCTTGGAATAAAGGGAGAGTGAATAATACACCTGCTCGTACCATCCACGGCAGAACATATTTCGCAGAAGGTGATGTTGAAATTCTAGGCGCTTTGCTGTCCTGGGCTCGTTGGGAAGATTGCGTCCGCTGTCAGGCGCAGGATCCAGGCTTCGGAACGTGGCCAACCCATATCCAGTTTCACCCTCAAAGAGAAGGCATTTCGTTCGCAGCGTACGCTCGTCACTGAGATATACAAAATATACGACGCACAATACGCACGCCGCCGCCCCCACTGGTGATCGAGGAACTCAGTGGTTTCCCAGCTGCGTCGTGCAAGGTCGACTTGGCTTTTGCAACGCCCATACTCACAGGACTGAGCCGACTCGATCCTTCACATCACACTTGCCCACCCCCGCCCAGAAGAGCAACGAACCCTGTCCGAAATGATACAATATGTCGAACGCGGGGCATTCGTCAATGCATTTGATGCCGTGAAATACCTGGTTATCCCGGGGGGAGGAGGGGGTTAGCCGATAACCTAACCTTCGCGCTGTGGAAAGCCGTGCATGTGCCCGCGCCCCCACACCCCAGGCATGCACAATCGGCAAGGTTAGGTTATCATGGGGGGGGCAAGCCCGATAATTCGGGTTATCGTCTGACCCTAAAGAAATAGTCTCATAGTGCGCGGTACAATCCTGAACAGGAGACAAATTGTTGCTTTGAGATCCACGATGCTATTTTCGCGTTGGTTTCTTGCAACAAAGGCCCATGTCGGGCAGGCCTGACGGACTACGGAAATAAAGGCGCTCGGCATGGCCAAACAGCGGACATTTGTCGCAGGCACGCGCGGCAGAACAACAAACAGAATATCGCGGGCGGAAGCCGCTGAGTACTCGCGGCATTAGTCGACCACCTTTCGCGCAAGCTCTCGGCACCGCCACTAGCGCACGGCAATGACAAGTGTTTCAACTTCGCCAATGTGAATTTTACAATCCGGCTGGGAGAAGAAGTCCGCCACCGTGCGGTGGCTAGATTCGCCGCAGGCAGCCGGATATTTAAAGGCGAATGTGAGTGGCGCTGAGGCGACAGCAAAATGTTGAAAACCACCGGACCTCCGTCCGTGTAAGTCACTGCTGGAATCCCCCAACTTCACGACAGGAAGGCGCAAATAAGTCCAAGGCGAACCGCCCAGCTTGTTTCACGGACGCGTCTGGTGGTGCGACAGGGAGGAGTTGGTTACAAGAGAGAGGAATGAAGACAAGAGGGGGTCAGCAGCAGGGGCAGGGTCGGGAGTAGGAGCCCCAGCAAGAGCACGCAGAGAGCAGGGATTGGCGGCGCGCAGAGGGGGGCAGGGGGAGGGGGGAGGGCTTCTTAGAAGGAGGCTGCTTCTTAGAAGGCGGCGGCCTTACATCTACAGACAAGGCCCGCGCCTTCTAAGAAGCAGGGGTGCTTCTAAGCAGCCTTCCCCCCTCCCCCCTACCCCCTCTGCGCGTGGCCGAAGGGAGTACAGTCGGACTCGATTGGACAGGACACGCGAGAGGACACAAGACCCTTCCGAGGGCCACATTGCCGCAGGAATGTAGGAAGCATGGGTCGCGAGGCACAGGACACAAGGGTACCCTTGATTTGGCAGGGTCGACCTACTCATCTGGGCCCACTCTAGTGCACGCGTCGGGGGGCGACGTGCGGCACAGGAGCGGCGGCGGCAACATCAACAGAAGATCGCGCCGGCGGCCTGACGCTGGTGGGCAGCGCCGCGAAGCGCCGCGGGGCGGACGTCGGCTCCGGCTCGCCTCCAGGCCACCCCCTCTGGGGGGAGGCGGTTCGAGATCTTCGTTGCGCCCGTGCGGGGCCTGCGGGGGAGGAGAGAGGGAGGAGGAGGAGGAGAGGAGGAGGAGGAGGAGGAGGAGGAGGATGAGGAGGAGGAGGCGGAGGCGGAGGCGGAGGCGGAGGAGGAGGAGCGGGGGAGGAGGAAGAGGCATGGCGCCAAGGCCCTCACGCGGCTCAGGGGCATATGCCCGGCGTGTTAAACTAAGCCATCCGGGAGCGAGGGGAGGGGGGAGGGGGGCTTGTCGTGTGCTGTGCGTAATGGGGTATCGGAGCCTGGAGTCTTCCAAATTTGGCGGGAGGAGGAGGATGAGGAGGAGGAGAAGGAGGAGGGGGAGGAGGACGGGGAGGAGGAGGAGGGAGGAGGAGGACGAGGAGAAGGAGGAGGAGGAGGAGGAGGAGGAGGAGGAGGAGGAGGAGGAGCGGGAGGAGGATGGAGGAGGAGAGGGAGGATGGAAGAGGGAGGAAAGCGGGCGGGGGCATCTAGCCTCCTACCTCTACCCACCCACCCACCCTGCCTGCCTCTCCTTTCATCACCTTTCATCCTCCCTCCTAACTCCCCCTCCCTCCACCCGCCCACCCTTTTTTCACAATTACTCAATATGAAAATACTCTCCCTCTTCCCCTGATGGCGTCCGGGTGATGGCCGCGCACCCTCCGCGTACTGTTTTTTACACACAGGATGCCCGGGAAATCCCGGGAAACGACTCTCGCTGAGGCGCCGGCGTCATTTTGTTCCCAAAATGCTGCTCTCGTTGAGGCGCCGGCCTCATTTCTGCTCCCGAATCGTTCCGAATCGTGCTCCCGCTGCAGCGTGGACCTCATTTTCGGATCGGTGTTTGGCCTCCGTTCAGGATGGCGTTCTCAGGATGGCGTTCTCGCCCCAGCGCGGGCCTCTTTCTCGCGCGCTCATCCGCCCGCCACCACCGCGCCGCACCACCACCACCACCACCACCACCACCACCACCACCACCGACCACCACCAGCACCAGCACCACCACCAGCACCACCAGCACCAGCACCAGCACCACACCACCACCACCACCACCACCACCACCACCACCACAACCACGCACACACGCACGCACGCACGCACGCACGTGCACCACCACCCACTACGCACGCGCGCGCGGAGCCACAGGTCCGCTACGACACGCGTCCGCGGATAGAGAAAATCAGCGCCATGGTAAGGGATGGGAGGGAGGTGTAGGACGTCAGATATGACGCGAGCGCACCAAGCTTGACCATTCCCCCCTCCCTCCCTCCCTCCCTCCCTTCCTCCCTCCACTCCTCCCCCCTCCATCCCACCCTCCATTTGTCTACTCCCATGGCCACCCGCCAATCCGCACTCCGCTCCCCCTCTGCAGGTCTGCGTGCACCGACCACCCCCCCCCCGAGGCTCTCCGGACGCCCCGACGCCTCGCTGGCGCTGGCCGAAACTCCCGGGATGCCCCAGATGGTTTCCAAAACGGCCAAGGCAGACCACCAAAGCCGCCAAGATGGCCCACGATGCAGCCAAGACGGCTCAAGATGGTCTCGACAGCCCGAGAGGCCCCTAATAGTTCCTAGAAAGGGCTCCAACAGGACCGCCAGGAAGGCTCGGGAGAAAATAAAATCAGCGACTTCTATGATTCCAAGCCGGCTCCAAGACAGCCCAGGAGGCCCCGAAAAGGGCCCCAAGACGGCCCAGGAGGACCTGAAGATGGCTCAAGAGGCCTGCAAGCCGGCCTAAGAAGGTCCCCAGACGGCCTAAGAGCCCCCCAAGAAAACCCTTTAGGGCCCCAGCATGACCCCAGACGGCCCACAGGCCCCCAAAAAGGACCCTGAAGGTGCCGGACTGCCCGAGAGCCCCCCAACCCGAGAGGCCCGCAAGGCGCCCCCAACAGGCCCCGCAAGATAGAGAGGGAGGAAGACGACGACGACCACGAGGAGAGACACCGCGGAAGAGCGCGTCACACGATACGGTTCCGCCAAGCTTGAGGGCACGAGGTGTCACGCGTGACGGTTTCACTTGCGCCCCTCGAAAATCGCCACCCACAGGGCTGAGCTGACAGGCACGGTGGCGGTAGAGGCGGAGGAGGAGGAGGCGGAGGAGGAACAGGCGGAGGAGGAGGCGGAGGAGGAGGAGGCGGAGGAGAAGGAGGAGGAGGAGGAGGAGGATACGCCCTCCTGGCCAAGCCAGGAAGGCATAACACACACACACACACACACACACACCCCGATGGGCATGGCCCGGAGCGGTGCGAGCGCACAGCTGACGCCCTCCGACCGTCGGGCGGCCTGGATCCCCGCCGAGCCCCTCGGGTGCGCCGAAGAGGGGGGGCAGGACGGAGCAGGTTGGCGCGTCATGGCCCAAGACACGCGCGCGGACGAGTGGGGGAGCTCGGGGATGCCTTGAACGAGAAAGGGGGACCACGACGTCGGCTAGACGTCGTGGCCCTCCACCTCGAGGACTCTTGGACGCCCCCGACCTTGGCATGAAGGAACTGAGTGCTGAGGCAAATAGGTCCTGGATCCCTGGACTTCCCCCCAGGATCGCTTATTCGTCCTGGGCTGTTTTTGACAGCCCCAGGTCCCGTTGAGGGCCAAGAGAGGCCAAAGCGGCAGCAACAACAACAACAACAACAACAACAACAAGAGCAGCTGCTGCTGCTGCTGCTGCTGCTGCTGCTGCAACGACAACAACAACAACAACAACAACAACAACAACAACAACAACAACAACAACAACAATTACTAGCACGTGGGGACACTCCGTTCTCACCAGTGCCAGGGTTTTCATAGGAGGCGGGCAATACCCCCACTTTGTGGGGGGGCCGGTTCAAGCTCTACCAAATTTCCAAACGACTCTTCGCCACCACCCACACCCAGCTTCCCGCCCTATGACGTTCGGACACTTCACTTCGTGGCATGCGGACGACCGTGGCTACTATTCAGGGCCCCGCGGCCGACGACGACGGCGTGCGCGCGCGAAGAAAAAACGAATGTGTCCCGCATGGTATTATTTGACAGGGATGATGGCCCTGGCAGGTGCGCAACCGTTGTTGCAGAAGTTCGAAAAAGTTGCTCGCAAAAGCCCGTTTGACAGAAATGTTTAAAAAGTGTTGGGTTTCCTACGAATCCGCAAGAGCGCGCGGGATGAAATTTTGACAATTTTTTGTTGAAAAACCATTGGTTTTTTGATGTTTTTATGTTAAAATCGCTACGAAAACTAAGGTTTTGGAAGGATTTCGTCTTGCGCGCGCGAATGTCCACTTTACCTTATTTTTTGCAAGGGATTCTTGAAGTTTGGTTATGTTAGAACAAGAAATGTCCACTTTAGCTTATTTTTTGCAAGGGAAAACCGATCGTAACAACACAACCGGATCCGGACCCCCGTTTTGCCTGAGACTTCCTCACGAAAATGATGAAAATGAGGCTGCGGCCTAGGCGCGGCGGGGGGGTCGTGCACCAGGGGTCCCAACAATAATTATTCTTTAGAAGTAATAATGTTCAACAACAACAACAACAACAACAACAACAACAACAACAACAACAACAACAACAACAACAACAACAACGACAACGACAACGACAACGACAACGACAACGACAACGACAACGATAACGATAACGACAACGACAACGACAACGACAACGACAACGACGACGACGACGACGACGACGACGACCACCACAACAACAACAAAACAAGACCCACTCCCTCAGGGTTCCCTTCCTCCCGTGGCGACTGACGCCCTCCCCTCGGGCATGGACTAACCCGGCTCAGCGCAAACCCGATTCAACCAATCTAGAAAAATTGCGCGTCTGATTTCGGGGGGGGAATCTGCAAGGCTGCCTCCAAGGCCGCGAGCGGCCCCCAGATCCGGCGCCTCAGAATTCGGATCTGCAGGATCCGGCGCCCTGGCTGGGGAAGCGAAAAAGCACCGATACCGCTACGCCACGGACCTCTCCCGGGGTGCGTTCTGGCCAGGATTTCGAAGCAAATTCAGCGGTGACGCGGAGGGCCTCCCAGGAGGCTCAAAAAGGGGAAAACTGCCAAAAGGTAGCGACTTGGGTACCTTTTTCCTCCTCTCACTGGCTGAACCTCGTTGGCGCTGAACCCTCTAGGGTAGGCTCTTGCGGCGTCGGCGCGCGCAAAAGTTTTTGACGCCGCGTCGATCATTCAACCCTGAACCGATCGCGGCCCCGATAGTTCCAGGTTGAATCCCGTCGGGCCATGTGGCGATACCGTGCCCCTCGTTGCTTCCGCGTCGCTCTGTCGTGCGGAATTCAGCCTTGAACGCCTTCGCTGGCGTCACCGGCGCGCCACCGCCGCATGGACCTGTCGTACCTGCCGGAGGAGCCCCTAAGTATCGTTTATCCGATCCCCATGCCCAGCGGCGTGGCCTGGGCCCCACTGGCAGATTTACCCGCCTAGATGGGGATATAGGTCGTTCCCTTCGGGTTTCGAATGGTGTATCCCCCACTAGGGTGGTAATTTGGTGGGGGCCTCGAAGGGGGCGGGGATGGGGATGGGGATGGGGATGGGGATCGGATAAACGATACTGAGGCAGGAGGAGGAGGAGGAGGAGGAGGAGGAGGCGGCGGCAGGAGGAGGCAGGAGGAGGAGGAAAAGGAGGAGGAGGAGGCAGGAGAAGGACGGAGGCAGGAGCAGGAGGAGGAGGAGAAGGAGGAGGAGGGAGGCAGGAAGAGGAGGAGGAGGCGGCAGGAGGAAGAGGAGGAGGCTACAGGAGGAGGAGGCAGGAGCAGGGAGCAGGAGGAGGAGGGGGAGGCAGGAGGAGGAGGAGGGGGAGGCGGAGGCGGAGGAGAGGAGGAGGAGGAGCCCCGCCCCGCCAGGCGAGCCGGGCCGCACCGAGGCGGCGCCGACGGGCAGCCCCTCCGGCGGCCCGCGGCCGCCGGCGGGCG